ATATATTCAACTGGAAACAGATGCTAACATAAAGCTTATACCTCTGATCACATTGCACTTTATTTTGAAAGATAAGGACTGGTATTTCAAAGATTGTACAAAAGACATACAAACGAATCACACCTTTCAATACAAGTTAAGAATTATATAAAGAAGAACCAAATAATGCATAAAACTGCATCATACAACTGTTTGTCCTTCTATGACTTGTCAGTGATGCTACATCACACAGCTGTTTGTCCTTCTGGTACTCGTCAGTGATGCTACATCACACAGCTGTTTGTCCTTCTGGTACTCGTCAGTGATGCTACATCACACAGCTGTTTGTCCTTCTGGTACTCGTCAGTGATGCTACATCACACAGCTGTTTGTCCTTCTGGTACTCGTCAGTGATGCTACATCACACAGCTGTTTGTCCTTCTGGTACTCGTCAGTGATGCTACATCACACAGCTGTTTGTCCTTCTGGGACTCGTCAGTGATGCTACATCACACAGCTGTTTGTCCTTCTGGTACTCGTCAGTGATGCTACATCATACAGCTGTTTGTCCTTCTAGGACTTGTCAGTGATGCTACATCATACAGCTGTTTGTCCTTCTGGTACTCGTCAGTGATGCTACATCATACAGCTGTTTGTCCTTCTAGGACTTGTCAGTGATGCTACATCATACAGCTGTTTGTCCTTCTAGGACTTGTCAGTGATGCTACATCATACAGCTGTTTAGTCCTTCTAGGACTTGTCAGTGATGCTACATCATACAGCTGTTTGTCCTTCTAGGACTTGTCAGTGATGCTACATCATACAGCTGTTTGTCATTCTAGGACTCGTCAGTGATGCTACATCATACAGCTGTTTGTCCTTCTAGGACTTGTCAGTGATGCTACATCACACAGCTGTTTGTCCTTCTAGGACTTGTCAGTGATGCTACATCATACAGCTGTTTCGTCCTTATAGGACTCGTCAGTGATGCTACATCATACAGCTGTTTGTCCTTCTAAGACTCGTCAGTGATGCTACATCATACAGCTGTTTGTCCTTCTAAGACTTGTCAGTGATGCTACATCATACAGCTGTTTGTCCTTCTAAGACTTGTCAGTGATGCTACATCATACAGCTGTTTGTCCTTCTAAGACTTGTCAGTGATGCTACATCACACAGCTGTTTGTCCTTCTAGGACTTGTCAGTGATGCTACATCACACAGCTGTTTGTCCTTCTAGGACTTGTCAGTGATGCTACATCACACAGCTGTTTGTCCTTCTAGGACTTGTCAGTGATGCTACATCACACAGCTGTTTGTCCTTCTAGGACTTGTCAGTGATGCTACATCACACAGCTGTTTGTCCTTCTAGGACTTGTCAGTGATGCTACATCACACAGCTGTTTGTCCTTCTAGGACTTGTCAGTGATGCTACATCACACAGCTGTTTGTCCTTCTAGGACTTGTCAGTGATGCTACGTTATACTGCTGTTTTGTCCTTCTGGTACTCGTCAGTGATGCTACATCACACAGCTGTTTCTTCCTTCTAGGACTCGTAAGTGATACTACATCATACAGCTATTTCGTGCATCTAGGACACGCCAGTGATGTTACATTATACAGCTGTATCGTCCATCTCGGACACGTCAGTGATGCTACATCACACAGCTGTTTGTCCTTCTAAGACTTGTCAGTGATGCTACATCATACAGCTGTTTGTCCTTCTAGGACTTGTCAGTGATGCTACATCAGACAGCTGTTTGTCCTTCTACTTGTCAGTGATGCTACATCATACAGCTGTTTGTCCTTCTAGGACTTGTCAGTGATGCTACATCACACAGCTGTTTGTCCTTCTAGGACTTGTCAGTGATGCTACATCACACAGCTGTTTGTCCTTCTAGGACTTGTCAGTGATGCTACATCACACAGCTGTTTGTCCTTCTAGGACTTGTCAGTGATGCTACATCACACAGCTGTTTGTCCTTCTAGGACTTGTCAGTGATGCTACATCACACAGCTGTTTGTCCTTCTAGGACTTGTCAGTGATGCTACGTTATACTGCTGTTTTGTCCTTCTGGTACTCGTCAGTGATGCTACATCACACAGCTGTTTCATACTCATACAGCTATTTCGTGCATCTAGGACACGCCAGTAATGTTACATTATACAGCTGTATCGTCCATCTGGGACACGTCAGTGATGCTACATCATACAGCTGTTTCATCCATCTGGGACTCGTCAGTGATGCTACATCATACAGCTCTTTCGTCCATCTAGGACACGTCAGTGATGCTAAGGGCATAAACTCTGAAACCTAAGAGACGATTTAGGATAATCAAACAATCTGAAAGAACTGTTAAAACCTAGATGGGAAAGTGCACCAAGCCCCATTATTCAATATTTCAGAATTTCAGAAGAACGTCAAGTTTATGTGTGTTTTCTTAACCGTGACACTATTAGGGTGAAATTGTGTCATAAGTGGTCCATACACTAATACGTCATTATGACGTCACATAAAGATTGGTACAGAGTATGATGACGTCACTTATATAAAATTCTTGTTTTAACAAAAGTTTTAAACCTGGATCTTAATCCCTCTCTGAATATTCTATCATCAATCTCACAATAAAATATGGAAATAGGCCACGTGAATATTCTATACAGCTACATCACAGGTTTTTGATGTTATTGATACAGTCAATACATCACAATGCGGCTATGGTGTCCCTATCTGGCGTTATCAGATTGACCGTAAAATATGTTAACTGCTGTGTAAAAATAAAACGCTGCTTTGATTTCTTTGATAGTAATATTTCCTGGAAAATTTCGATCAATTTTCTATGTTATGTGATTCATATTGAATATATAACTTCTAAGCGGTGATTTCATCGGCCTAGTTTTGTGAATGTAGCTGAATTACACCAATGAAGATCAGAACACGAGATCTGGTATTTAGTATAAGTTACACAGTAACGGTTACCGTATGGAAAATGTCTTGCTCTCGAGCTAGTTATTTTTCAAAAGTTACAAAAAGCACGAGCTTTATCGAGTGTTTAAATATATATAGAATAATCACGAACATGAGTGACAGATATAAATAGCAATCACGTGTTTGTGTGACCTGATTTTACGACAATGTTTACTTAATCTGTTGTGACGTAGTGACGTGTAGTGAAAATAATATGTGACGTTTCGATGACAAATCTGTCGCCTTCACCGGCATGAAGCGAATTTGTACTGAGGCATACTGTTTACAATGTGCAAACGGTCATATACTTACAGAACTTTTCGACAATAGTTTTAGTGCATTAAGGTGGAAAATAGTCTGTCGAGATGGCGATAAGATTATAGAGAAAACACATTTCTGTTTGTTAAAAAATATATATTAATTAATGAATAAATAAATATTATTAATTAAAAGTTGATTCGCCTACGATTTATTTTAAACCTGTTCATTATGTGTGTGAACGACCGGTTCTTGTGGTAACGGGTCATGTTATACGTAGCATAGGTTTCTGCACTGAATACATATTCTATAAAATATAATACAAATTAAAGACAGGAGCATCTGGAGGAGTGTTATATAGACTAGGTCTCTGGTAGAAACGAGTTATTCAGTATGTGGGATAAATCATATTCGTCCATAAAAAAAGTCTTTGGGGTCATAAAATTTTATATGTGTCTCCATGTGTGTCTGATGTAACAATGATAAAGTGATAAATGGAACAAGGACAATGTCATCAACAGGACCTTAACTTTGTGTGATCACGTGCTACATCATAATAAATAAACCCTTTGTAAGAGGTTTTAAAGTTTTAATGTTCTCGAACTAATATCCGATACCACTACCACTGCTACGGGTTATATTTTTTTAATTTGGAACTTGAAACTGTCTCAGTGAATTGTACATTTTACACAAAATTCACCGATTTGATATATATAACCCTGTTAACATGTTTAGCCTTTCGGATATTTCAGTATAACGACTCAGGCGGTAACAGTATATTTACATACTTACATCATTCATTCAACTATCAAAGAGTATTATGAAACTTGCATAAAAAATACTTTTTATCCAACAATAGTGATTAATAATGTCTTCTGGTAATATTGATTTTGATCAGAATGAGCTCATCAATTTAAAAGTATTCAATATGAATGAAACGCTTACTTAATGTTAGTTAAAGGGAGGTAACTCCAGACAGCTTGGATTGGAATCAACCTGCATCTCTTGAAACCCTGTTATGAATCTATCTGACAATTGACGGTATCTTGTGCAAAAGTCATGATAACTGGAACATGCCCTTGGGGATGTAGGCATTTGCTATCCAGAAATGGGAAAAAAAACAAGAAATTACCAACATGTCAACGTAATCATAATCCAAACTCAAAATCAATACAAATAGGGCAAAATATGAACAAGAGATATACTTGCACGGAGACTCCTGTTAAAGTACAAGTAGAATAAGACCATGTGTTCTGGAAGAGTAAGCGTCTTATACTTTATCGACGACAGCAGCCATGTAAACCTTGGTCAATCCAAGTAAGAAATACCATGTTCTCAAATGAGAACAAGGTACACAACATAACAAACAACAGCAAACTAATGAGCAACATACACGTGCAGCTTCATATCACATAAAGAAATAGAATGTTTCTCATTGATATCACTATGACGACCGTAAATTTTCTCAATGATTTTCATCGACCTGCAACTTTTAAAGTCTTATGTTTCGAGTTTGTACGTCAGTTGAAGACTTCTTTCACGAAAATCGCGAAAATAAGTACAGGCCATTGAACATCGAATCAACTGCGACGTGTAAACACCATTGGTTGCTATTCAGAATGGAAAATTCACGATAGGGAAAATGAAAACATCACGTATATCATACAGCTGGATGGAAAGATGTCCATGTTAGTTTCGTTGTGGGAAATGATCAAGATAAGTAGCTAATGTCGAAGAGTCTGTCGTGTCATTGATTTCCAATTCTGGTGGGTATAAAGACAAGACAAATTCACAATATGGAAATTGAAATGAGCCGGCTTATCATACAGCTAGGCGGAAAGTAACCCATGTTGGTTTCGTTGTAGGAAATGATCCTGGCAGCTGATGTAGAATAGTCTGACGTGTCCTTGATTTCCAATTCCAGTTGGTATGCGAGAATATGATGGACGTGGTCATTAACATCTTGTTTGTAAAGACAAGACGTCATTATTGTATGTGAAAAGTGAAGGACTTTGTAAATCTTTGTCTGTTTAGTAAGTATATTGAATTTCGTATTCAAGTTAATGGACGGGATTTCGAGATCTCTAAGACTTGTAATGAACATTTCTCGTAGCTTTGTATTTTCGATAACACTTTTATCGCCAGTTTCCAGATGTATGTGCCAAGTTAGACCATAGTTGCAAGAGGTAGAAAAGAAAAATATTTGAGGTTTACAACCTGCATGTAAAATTTTAATTCATTCATATAATGACACTGTTAAAGAATATACAGAAAGAAACAATATTAGAAGGAAAATTAAAAATGGAAAACACATAGAAAGTAAGAGAAAGTAAGAAAGAGAAAGAAAGAGAAAGAAAAAGAAAGAAAGAAAAAGAAAGAAAGAAAGAGAAATAAAGAAAGAGAAAGTAAGAAAGAGTAAGAAAGAGAAAGTAGAAAGAGAAAGAAAGAAAGAGTAAGAAAGAGAAAGTAGAAAGAGAAAGAAAGAAAGAGAAAGTAAGAAAGAGAAAGAAAGAGAAAAAGAAAGAAAGAGAAAGTAAGAAAGAGAAAGTAAGAAAGAGTAAGAAAGAGAAAGTAAGAGAAAGTAAGAAAGAGAAAGTAAGAAAGAGAAAGAAAGAGAAAGTAAGAGAAAGTAAGAAAGAGAAAGTAAGAAAGAGAAAGAAAGAGAAAGTAAGAGAAAGTAAGAAAGAGTAAGAAAGAGAAAGTAAGAAAGAGAAAGTAAGAGGAAGAAAGAGAAAGAAAAGAGTAAGAAAGAGAAAGAAGAGAAAGAAGAAAGAAGAAAGAGAGAAGAAAGAAAGTAAGAGAAAAGAAAGTAAGAAAGAGAAAGTAAGAGAAAGAGAGAAAGTAAGAGAAAGTAAAGAGAAGAGAAAGAAAGAAAGAGAAAGTAAGAGAAAGTAAGAGAAAGAAGAGAAAGTAAGAGAAAGTAAGAGAAAGTAAGAGAAAGTAAGAAAGAGAAAGAAGAGAAGGAAAAAGAGAAAGTAAGAGAAAGTAAGAGAAAGTAAGAAAGAGAAAGTAAGAGAAAGTAAGAGAAAGTAAGAGAAAGTAAGAAAGAGAAAGTAAGAAAGAGAAAGTAAGAGAAAGTAAGAGAAAGTAAGAAAGAGAAAGTAAGAAAGAGAAAGTAAGAAAAAGAAAGAGAAAGAAAGAGAAAGTAAGAAAGAGAAAGAAAGAGAAAGTAAGAGAAAGAAAGAAAAAGAGAAAGAAAGAGAAAGTAAGAGAAAGTAAAGAGAAAGTAAGAAAGAAAAAGTAAGAAAGAGAAAGAAAGAGAGAAAGTAAGAAAGAGAAAGTAAGAAAGAGAAAGAAAGAGAAGAGAAAGTAAGAAAGAGAAAGAAAGTAAGAGAAAGTAAGAAAGAGAAAGAAAGAAAGAGAAAGTAAGAAAGAGAAAGAAAGTAAGAAGAAAGAAAAGAAAGTAAGAGAAAGTAAGAAAGAGAAAGAAAGTAAGAGAAAGAAAAAGAGAAAGAAGAAAGAAAAGAAAGTAAGAGAAAGTAAGAAAGAAAGAAGAAAGAGAAAGAAAGAAGAAAAGAAGAAAGAGAAAGAAAGAAAGAAAGAAAGAAAGAAAAGTAAAAGAGAAAGTAAGAGAAAGTAAGAAAGAGAAAGAAAAAATAGAAAGAAAGAGAAAGAAAGAGAAAGAAAGAGAAAGTAAGAAAAAGAAAGAAAGAAAGAGAAGGTAAGAAAAAGAAAGAAAGAGAAGGTAAGAAAAAGAAAGAAAGAGAAGGTAAGAAAGAGAAAGAAAAAAAAAGAAAGAAAGAAAGAGAAAGAAAGAAAGGGAAAGAAAGAGAGAAAGAGAAGAAAGAACATATTGATAGATATATACCTCTGATCCAAAACAATTTTTATGTAGAACATATACGCGCATAAACTTGTAAATTGAAGAACAAATGATAACGGAGGTGATCATTTACAATAGAGATTTCAGATTGTGACGTCATGACTTGGCTAGAGATAATGATGTGGTACGGTCACTTGACTTTTATTTTGAAAGCCTTTAATTCTAGTCGTGTATGTTACCTGATTTTATCAGAAACGCTGCCAAACACCCCGAGATTATAGAGAAAAAACAACACGTGATAGCGTTATAGAACACGTCTACAACCTTACATTATAACGTGACCACCTGTGTATTATCCGTGGTTAAATGGAAATGTCCCATCTGGCCGGACGAATTTACTTTAATTTTGAAAGTTTCACTAATGTACGTCTATGATACGTTGGCTAAATGTTAATGTAAAATAATGTTTTAAAAGGTTCTTATTCTCGACTTCCTTATGGAATAAAAACACACAAAATGTCTTGAAAATAAAATTCGCTGAGAATAATTTTATACACTTCAACCCACCACAGAAACCCCTTATCATACAATTGCTAATTATAGTCCTGAATTTAGGACAGAAAAGGACGAATTGTCAGCATTTGTGGTTTGGAATTTCAGCAATATCTAACAGAAACTCTCAAAATAAAACCTAAACATTCTTTTAATATTGTTGAATTCATGTTTAATTAGAAACGCATGTTTGATTTGTTTCATCTTCATGGAATGCTAGAACATTGGTTTCGATCCTAATCTGCCAGTCACAGAATCTCACTGACTATGAAAGGACGTCTCAGTACGTGCCACGTATAAAAGTAAACATGAAACTCGACAAATGTTTATCACGACCATTTCTACAAAATCATCCAATGTAAAATAAACAAAAATACTCTTCACTTTTATTCAGAATTGAAATTATCAAGTCTGGTCATATCTAATTGCAGTTGATTAGCCTGTGAAACCTTACTTGTCGATTAGTTGTGCTTTAAACACTCATGTAATGGAGGACATTATATATTATAATGACCCCGATAGGATTCGAACCCGGAGCCACTGACTTACCCTCAAATGTTTTCTGTAGTTGAGAGTGAGTGGTGACTAGTATTCACTAGCTTTACAGTACATGGCTCAGAGTGTACTGTCTGCTGTTCTGTATGTATAAACACATTTATATACCGCAAAAGATCTTTCAATGAAAGAAGTTTTCGTGGTCTTACTAAGTTAAATGAGATGTACCGCCAATGACTCATGACAGAATATATATTTTATATATGTATTTCCTTTTTCATTCTTATTTTCGTGGTGGTATTTCCTCTTGGGTAAGAAGTGAAAATCAAAACCCTCGAAAATAACATTGTTTACAGTATTATCGATAACAGAGAGCAGGTGAATTGATATTGATATCGAAACAAATGATTCAGTAATCAGGGACTTAGCTAGCCCAGCAGAAATGTGTAAGCCCAGGCGAGGGGTCTGGGGCCGCCTAGGTCCCCAGGGGGTCGAGCGCAGGGCTTTGGTGGGGGATCAGGGGGGCGAACCCCCCCCCCCCCCCCCCCGACGGAAAATGAATTTCATGATTTCAAAGACGTTTTGAATCGTTTTCAGAGACAGTTTTTTAAAATTCATTTGACAACAAACTTCAACCCCTGACTAAATTAAAGACTTTATTTTGTTAGAAAAACTTGTCGATCGACGTCTGTAATCAAGAAGCCTTCTTCATTTTGAACTTTGCACTTTAACAACATTATAATCAGAAACGTTGAAATGATAGTAAGAAGTAGAATAGTATGACGTGTATAAAGTTCAGGAAAGCAATGCACTAGGCCTAGTTATTCAACAATTTTCTACTTATATTTTTTCATTTATCAAAAATATTAGATATCTATTTTCAACCTTAGTTTTGTAATTTTGTCCGACATACTCAATGCACGGATTTTTTATGTGTAAGCCCGGGTTTTTTCTTTCTATGGAAGCTACGCCCCTAGTAATACTCTCATTTATCGAGAAGTTAATTTCATACCGCTGTGCTGGCCCCGATGCACGACCGGATTTCACAAATGATTAGCAGCAATTGTTAGCTCTCGGGGTGTGAGTATCCTCGTGTGTACCGTCAAATCATAGCCGTGGACGTCAATCGATTCTAGATCCTCATTAATATTGTTAGGTATCAAACACAGCGCACCTTTGGGTCTGATATAGGCACGTCATTGTCACGTGGTGGGCAGCGTTTACTCTAGAGAGGGATCGACGTGGATAAATTACTGTTAATGGCATTACAGTCTGATATACTGTATTAACACAGTTTTAACTTTTAAACTATAAAACAACCTTGTCGTTATATTGTGTTTATCTATAACATTAAGGAAATCAGTGACAAACGTTACACAAAAATGTCAACCTCGGGATGGAACTATAACTAATATCTTTTTTTCATTTTGGAAATATTTAATAAAACATCACAATTCTATTATCAACATCTACATGAGCAAAATAACAGTAAATAAACAACACAGTAAGGAAATGTATCTCACTTCCTTGTCGATTACCAAAGACTTTCTCTGGACTCAAAGAATTAAAAACATCTTACCAGAAAAGTTAAATTAAAGAAAGCTTTAGTGTTTAAAATATAACGATTAAAATACATATAACAAAAAGAATACAGGTTGATTGTTGTGTCGGATAATGTTGAACCAATAAACTCTGTAGGCGAGAAAATAACACATGATTGTCATACATAGCAGCATTGAGTAAATGTAGATTTATAAATAACGTTTAAAATAAGAAACATTTCCATAATCATATAGTTCTTTTCTTTATAGACAGAAATACGTAAGGTAACGTCTGGTTCGGATTTGTAAGAAAAACAGTGTATATTATATGGACGTTTCACTTTTCTTATTACTTCACAATTAAAGTTTTATTTGAGAGTTTCGTTATAAAGCTATATTAACTGTTAAAATAAAACGTGTTCCAATATATATTTGCCTTCTCAGTTCATTAAAGTTTCTGAAACACTAATGTCAGTATTAAAATGGCCCCAAAAAGTTTTCATCATTTCGTTTGCTTGATATTATATTATTCGACAGTCGCAATTTCATTTTTTAAATAATTTTGTGGGCACTTATTTTCATGGGTTCATATATTACATATAAAATAATACTCGCGAAATCCTATGATTCTAAACTTTCATATCATATTTTACTCAAACTGTTGATTCATGGACAAGTGAATTCATCGATTAGGTATTCCTTCAACAAAAATGCAATATAATTTCATGTGAAGTAGATATTTAGTTGTTAAAAATGCATATACAGCGTAGTGTTGAAACATAAAGATTTTTACTGTATTGTAAGGATTTTTGTTTCATTGTTAAAAACACATGAGAATATACACATGTAAGCACATATCCAACGTTAGATCAAAATAAACCAAGGTCTTCTTTATATAGTAATTTATGCTTAAATAAATACTTTATTAGCCTGCTCACTCCTTACATGAGTTTGAACATTTACATAAGAAACAAAGTAGAGTCTTTATAAGCAGTTTACATTCAGCTCTAAATTTAGCATTAAACCCATTATATATTAAAGGATTCAGAACGCTACTTAAGAAATAAGTTCGTAAGAAGAGATGATAAAACACTTTGCCGACGATAGAAGCGTTCTCGTAAAAAAACACCTTAATATTACTAAGTCTCGTGATAGATATAACACAGTAAGGCACGAATGAAATTATAAACACCATTGTCACAACAAATAGTGTTGTAGTGGTTTTCCCCGTTCTATACCGACGTCCTGTGACGTAACTTCCGCTCGAGGTTGAAAACGTCTGACTAAATGCCGACGGTCTAGGGCTAAGGGACAGCGTCGGGCTGCGACTTGGTCGTGCCGGTTTCAATTGATTAACATTTTGAGAATTTTCTGTTGTGTTTCTCCTTAAATTCTCCACACTGTTATATTGTTTTGTGTTAAAACTATTGGATCTCCATATAAATCTTCCTTTCTTACATTTCCCGTTTTTTAACATTAAATTATCAGTCAGATATAGATCCTCACATACACTAGAATTAGACATGGCACTCGGCCTTCTGATTGGTCCAAATCTGTTTATCCCGTTCTTGTCCTTGCTTTGATGAGCCATGATATGACGACCTATGATGAAATAGAGAACCGCTAAAATTGTATCATATACTAAGTTAGAGCACAAAACATACCAAGCAAATATTGTCGTGTATATTGAACCCAAGTACTCGTCTGCATACAGACACGTTTTTTGTTCTGTTTTGTATGGATGGGTAAAGGTCCCATATAAAAAAAGCGCCGGCCATCCTGTGGTGAATGCCAGAATTACAGCTCCGGCACTTATTAGTTTCGCTGTTCGAATTTTCATTGGTCGCATTTTCGACCAATAGCAGATTCCCATAAGCCTGTCCCATCCTATGCCAACCAGAACTGTGGCAGAGGCACTATTCATGCTAAATGTTAAAAATCTCGATACTTTACACAAAACTGGATGGTCAAAGTTGTGGAAGTTTGCCAGAAGAGCTATCTCTGTTGGAAGTGAGACTAGGTTGTTAATGAGATCAAATACAGCAAGTGCTAGAATGAAGACACGCGAAGTTTTTTTGGTCCATTTGAAGTAGTATATATAGCAAACGAATACATTCCCAGGCACACCAATAACGAACAATATACAAATATACACCATTACAGGTATCAGATGGTAGTTATGTAAATCCTCGAACGTAGCAGTTCTTTCAGATGCATTGGTGACGTTGCTAACAGGATATGACGTCATAGGTGGAATGTCGGGATATTCTGAGTACGAAATGGTACCATTACTGATATCTTGTAACGACAAGTGTGATTTCGATGTTACCATGATTCACCTTTAAGTCGTCAAACTCTCTGGACCTGCAACAATTTAAACACACATTTTTTCTTAGTTTACCTCGATCCGAAGCAGTTTATCTCCAAAGATTTTTTTGCAGAGTTTTGTTATCTTTATATGCAATAGCATTTATGATAAATTCTAGTTGCAGAAAACTTTCTGACATAAATATGTCTAGCATGGCGTCCAGATTTAGATCCTATAACACACTGTAAACTATCGTTTGTCAGGATCAACGGCCGAATACTGGAGAAATCGTAGCTGTTTGGAATATATCATAGTTATACACAATCAACTCAACCATTCACCCTGCGACTTCCGCAATCATGGTGTTGTGAAAGCCTTGCTTTGATTGGTCGACTCTTGTCATCACCGTCCAGTATCCTGATGTATTACATCACAATCGTATCAATCGGGTTCTGGTAAATATTGTAATCTCTAAACCCAATCATTAATGAGGAAGGTACTATCTGTGTCGTTTATTGACAAATCTGTCTCGGACAGCACGCGATGATACAGCTTTCATTCTGCCCTATATATGTCTGACCTGAAATAGAAAAGAATATATATGACAGAATATATTGATTTGTACAGGACTTCAGGATTTTCAGACCATATTTGTTTATTGGTAACATATCTGCCTTCCTCGTTTACGTAGTGATAAATTGAGTTGCAGATTGGTTCTGATAGATGTGAATATGATCTATCCTATCAGGAATACTGACACCGTCAATACCTAGACTATCCGACTCGTTATTACGTGATGACACGTGCTCTCAGATGCTCAGTTAATCTGTGTAAGTCGTATATTTATGTTCCTGCTTACACTAATGTAACAAATTTCTTATGTGAATCTTGATCAGTGTGGTTATCAATATTAACATAATTCATGTTGAGTTTACACTTGAAAATGGCACACGAAAATAAATTATCGCAGTTTTATTTTATTCAATATGTTCGGATTATTTCTTTGCCAGGAGCATCGTCCCATAGACAAATATGGCCACTTTTATACCGGAACGGTAACTGACTTCCTGAACAACATACGGGAGGCCCGTCGAATGTTTTTTTTAAAGAGTAATTTGTGTAAATCACGTGCACACGAACACAATCACGACAACACAGGACTGTCCATATTCTTAACATCCTAAGAAACACAAACCGTTTTGAGTTGTGATCGAATTAACGCCTCGGACCTTTATTTGAAATACCGAAACCCCATCTACTTATTCATCACGACACTTTTCATGTTTGAATTGGTATGGCGTCTTGCAGCTTGATATCTTATACAGGTAAAATGTACTTTAAAATTATCAATTTAATTAATACGAAGTAAGCACAGGTCGAATTTAACAATCTAGTCCTGATATCTTTACTGCATGACGAAAATTTGGAATTACACAAAAAGGTCATCGTAAGCTAGTTGTGAAACAATACAGACAAATGTTCATGATATGTAGTTTACGATACTATAACAATTGAACACACTACGGGAGATTAACATTATAAGACACTGTCGTCTTCACAGTTCTAATGTGTACTAAAACAAATATATCGATTGAGACAGTATAGAAAGTAAGTTTTTTTCTTCGAAGCTATCTATCATCAATGGAAATTATTCGTGGTGGAAAGTTTATCAAACTGAAGCCCATTGTATGACTTTCACCTTCAGAATAGCCGGAAATGATACGTCACTTAATTTGATTAGTTGTACTAACTACAGTTATTGGACAAATGTTTCACATTTAAACAAACTCTAAATCAAGGATAAATATTAAAAAAAAAAATTTATCTAATAAATGATAGTCAGGTAGAAATGTTACACTGATAATTAAACAATTAATTAAGACAATGATAAAACAACATATGAGCTTATTGATATTTGACATAAAGTAACAATGTTGTCCATACGCAGTACCCCACCAATAAAGCAATCATGTTAAATGATATCAGTATATGAAATATAACCGCTGTGGATAAAAAAAGACATAAAAATAGTCAGGGTTGATATAACGATTAATGTGATTGGGTAATTGATGAAGGCTCCGCCAGAAGGAAGGTTGATATTGATTGGGTAAGGCTATCAACTGAGGTAACGACACGCATAGATCACTGGTGGTTAGAATGCTAATGACACATTCAGTGGTCGGCAGAGAGTTCTCTTCTTATTTCTAGGTAATTTGTCCTCAGAGTCTCTCATCGTATAAGGTTTCTGGTTTTACATAAATATGACAGTGTGTGGAATCCTCCTCACCTCACCCACCCAATTAACATGTTACACAATCTGCAATTGGTTTTAACAGTTCGTTTTTGATGTTACAATACATAGCTTCTCTTTATCGTTTAGTAAAAATTGTCTGTTTTGTAGATTTTGATATTTATGGAGTTTTAAAGGCATCAGAGACCACGTGACGAGGATGACAGTGACGGGCCAGTTTGTGGCGATTTCCACTTCCACGTGTTCTCAAAGTGCTCAAACGAATGGTATCATAGCTTCCGGTTCTCCTAGCTTTATAATGAAATCAAGAGGAGTAGGGCTTCATGTCCTTGCGGACAAATACCTTTTATGTGCTATGCTAACGTGCATTATTTGTACAAATAAAACGGACAGTCTTAACCTTAAGTGTGTAAGGACCACCTCCTAGACTCAAAGAGCTGGGACAATATATAACATTACTTGTAAAGATAGTTCGGGTCCTTGACAAAAATTGATTCTAAAATTGGCGTTGCTAGATTTTTATCGGGAAGCGGCTATTATAAGTTCCACATCTCAATATATTGTCAACATTTCAACATTTATCTCAATTAATTAAAACGTAGGAATTTACAATGCAATAATACAACAAACGTTTTTTACATTTATCTTTATACAATTAGCATATATGCAATATGCAAACGATGTGTTGTGTCTATGTCTACAGTCTGGTATGTCTTGTGTCGATGTCTACAGTCTGGTATGTCTTGTGTCTATGTCTACAGTCTGGTATGTCTTGTGTCTATGTCTACAGTCTGGTATGTCTTGTGTCTATGTCTACAGTCTGGTATGTCTTGTGTCTATGTCTACAGTCTGGTATGTCTTGTGTCGATGTCTACAGTATGGTATGTCTTGTGTCTATGTCTACAGTCTGGTATGTCTTGTGTCGATGTATACAGTCTGGTATGTCTTGTGTCTATGTCTACAGTCTGGTATGTCTTGTGTCTATGTCTACAGTCTGCTATGTCTTGTGTCTATGTCTACAGTCTGGTACAATTTGTATGTCTTGTGTCGATGTATACAGTCTGGTATGTCTTGTGTCTATGTCTACAGTCTGGTATGTCTTGTGTCTATGTATGTCTACAGTCTGGGTATGTCTTGTGTCTATGTCTACAATCTGGTATGTCTTGTGTCTATGTCTACAGTCTGGTATGTCTTGTGTCGATGTATACAGTCTGGTATGTCTTGTGTCGATGTATACAGTCTGGTATGTCTGGTGTCTATGTCTACAGTCTGGTATGTCTTGTGTCTATGTCTACAGTCTGGTATGTCTTGTGTCTATGTCTACAGTCTGGTATGTCTTGTGGCTATGTATACAGTCTGGTATGTCTTGTGTCGATGTATACAGTCTGGTATGTCTTGTGTCTATGTCTACAGTCTGGTATGTCTTGTGTCTATGTCTACTGTCTGGTATGTCTTATGTCTATGTCTACAGTCTGGTATGTCTTGTGTCTATGTCTACAGTCTGGTATGTCTTGTGTCTATGTCTACAGTCTGGTATGTCTTGTGTCTATGTCTACAGTCTGGTATGTCTTGTGTCTATGTCTACAGTCTGGTATGTCTTGTGTCTATGTATACAGTCTGGTATGTCTTGTGTCTATGTCTACAGTCTGGTATGTCTTGTGTCTATGTCTACAGTCTGGTATGTCTTGTGTCGCTGTATACAGTCTGGTATGTCTTGTGTCTATGTCTACAGTCTGGTATGTCTTGTGTCTATGTCTTCAGTCTGGTATGTCTTGTGTCGATGTATACAGTCTGGTATGTCTTGTGTCGATGTATACAGTCTGGTATGTCTTGTGTCTATGTCTACAGTCTGGTATGTCTTGTGTCTATGTCTACAGTCTGGTATGTCTTGTGTCTATGTCTACAGTCTAGTATGTCTTGTGTCTATGTCTACAGTCTGGTATGTCTTGTGTCTATGTATACAGTCTGGTATGTCTTGTGTCGATGTATACAGTCTGGTATGTCTTGTGTCTATGTCTACAGTCTGGTATGTCTTGTGTCTGTGTCTACAGTCTGGTATGTCTTGTGTCTATGTCTACAGTCTGGTATGTCTTGTGTCTATGTATACAGTCTGCTATGTCTTGTGTCTATGTCTACAGTCTGGTATGTCTTGTGGCTATGTCTACAGTCTGGTATGTCTTGTGTCTATGTCTACAGTCTGGTATGTCTTGTGTCGATGTATACAGTCTGGTATGTCTTGTGTCGATGTATACAGTCTGGTATGTCTGGTGTCTATGTCTACAGTCTGGTATGTCTTGTGTCTATGTCTACAGTCTGGTATGTCTTGTGTCTATGTCTACAGTCTGGTATGTCTTGTGGCTATGTATACAGTCTGGTATGTCTTGTGTCGATGTATACAGTCTGGTATGTCTTGTGTCTATGTCTACAGTCTGGTATGTCTTGTGTCTATGTCTACTGTCTGGTATGTCTTATGTCTATGTCTACAGTCTGGTATGTCTTGTGTCTATGTCTACAGTCTGGTATGTCTTGTGTCTATGTCTACAGTCTTGTATGTCTTGTGTCTATGTCTACAGTCTGGTATGTCTTGTGTCTATGTCTACAGTCTGGTATGTCTTGTGTCTATGTATACAGTCTGGTATGTCTTGTGTCTATGTCTACAGTCTGGTATGTCTTGTGTCTATGTCTACAGTCTGGTATGTCTTGTGTCGATGTATACAGTCTGGTATGTCTTGTGTCGATGTATACAGTCTGGTATGTCTTGTGTCTATGTCTTCAGTCTGGTATGTC